GCGGCGCTGCACTGTACCACAAAGCACCCCGATTGCGCGGATTGTGTGTTGGATGATTGGCTGCGGGAAGGGCCCAATGTGGGGCCTAGCGCACCTCGTGCGCACCATGCTGTTGCGGTGGGAAACAGGCGTGCACAAGAAGAAAACTTCACCAGCTGTCCCTTACATCAACTTTTTCACACACACAAAAAGAAAGACCAAATAATACCTCCATTGTTGTATGATGACTGCTTGTTTCTCTTTTGAATCAAAGGCGGAACCCTTCTCTTGGGATGTTGGAATATTTATTATCTGACAGTAATGCTTTTGAAAAGGAGTGAAACCTTTAGCTCTTCAACATCAAGTCCTACCTTTGTCTCACCATGGCCATTAGAGATAAGTTACCGTTCTACTCCAACTCTGAGCAAGACAGGCGGCAATAAACTTCACGACGTGTTCCTTTCGTCGGGGTTCCGGTGAGTGCCAGTCGGTCTGGTGAGCGGGAGCTCGTCGTGACAAACCTGGGAGGCTGGTGCCCAAGGCCACAATTGACAGGGCGGTACAGCTGTCCAGGAGCCCCACGCTGCAGCCCAAGTGCGAGGACACGTCCCCGATTATGGCGGTCATGAAGCCGATCCAGAGGATGGACACCCAGAACGCCACCCAGCCGTGACAGTAATCTAGGGCAGGAGCCAAAGAGCGTACCGGATGAAGAGACGAGGAGGTCACGTTGTCGACCAAGCTGTTCTACAAAGCAAAACTTTACAATGGATAAAAAAAATCATATAGTAGAGGATATATACAGCTACTTTTCTAGGTCTAAAGAAAATAAGAAAAAGTTCAAAAGTACATGTTCTATATGGTTGGTTACAAAACATTTTTTGCGTTGCGACGCGCAGATATAATGAAGCGACACCATCTTCATGCTGAGCTATTTGTGATTGGCCTGCAGCAGCCCTTCTTACAGCCAGCTACGGATAGAAATAATGAAAAAAGAGGCTCGTGCAAAAATGAAATAAGATGCTGGGTGCTCATTAGGAGGAAAAAGTCAATTTAAGAAAGAAAAACGTGGGTAGTGTACGGGGAGTAAACAAACGGCCAAGTTCGTTGCAATCCAAGCTGTTTGGAAAAATTAATAGAAATGAAGAAAGATAAATGCGGCTGCTGAAAAAAATCCTGAAAAAGCAAAAAAACAAAAACAAATAGGGGAAAAAAGAGACAACAATCCACTCCGGGTCTGGAGGAGCGCCAGCCGTCTTCTCCCTCGACTCCACGCCACTCGGCCGCTACTCTTAGTTGATCGCAAAGAGCGTTGCGCGCGTTGCAGCCTGGTCGGGGCCCAGTGGCGGCGCTCCGAGCGGGCAGACGTCTAATTGAAAAGAAGCAGAGATTGAGTTGACGTGATTGGCTGGACTTGAGGGCTGCCTTACGGGCCAAATTGGACGCCGCTTCGCTCTCCAGTCGCCTCTTCAGCGGCCTCCCCCCGCCTTCCTAATGTCGTCACTGCCAGTTAGATGGTCTGCACTGATCACACGGCAGCGCCGCGCCGCCTCAAACTCGATTCGCACCTCCTCCCGCTGCGCGCGGATCGGCTCTCCTCGGCTCGCCCAAGTTTCGTTGATGCTGCCTCGGTTCGGCTCGGCTCGGCTACGCCGACCCGTCCCGCGGGCTTCGGTAATTGGATCGGTTCTATGCGCTGTTTTACCGGAGAGGAAAGTGGCCGGAACGGATTGGATTAGAGATTGTGCGCGGTGCGACGCGCATCCCTTACAGACAGAGCTAGGGGTCATGGGTCATGCTCACACGTCTTTTAAAGCCTCTGCTCTCTTTTGGACAGGGTTTTGTTGTATAACGTAACAAAAGACGTTAAAAAGTTTGCGTTAAAGTTAGAGATCAACAGAAGAATCTGACAGTATGAACCGCGGTCTGAATATCACCAAAGGGGTACGTTTGTGTTAATTTGTGGACCCCTGCTTATTTTAGATTAGAGTGTACCACAGGTCTCCAAAATTGCCACACTCTTAATGTCTATGGATAATTTTTGAAACTAACCCCGGACTTCCGTGTGCATAACTGAGTCCAGATACAATATTGTTACTACAACACACACTAGCTTACTCACTAGGTAGTGGTCCCCGGATCGTCACCGGGGACGCCCGCACCACCCAACCCGGGAATGCGTCGTCGATCTAGTTAATTGTCCATGGTTAGAACCACCCCATCACTGCACAATCCAGTGCTTCGGCTGCATATACAAGCCCGCACGCATGGGTGCGAGCGGGTTGCCTCCGCACGGGTCCATAAGGCGCCACGGCAACAGAGATGAGCGAACATGTTCAATATTCGCATTCGCTCGAAATCGAAGCGTATGCTGGGACCTTTACTAGGATGGGGCAAAGCGACCACACTTTGTGTTCCGTTACGGAGGCCTCAGGCCTCCTGGCATAATGTGGTGTTCGTCCTTTAAAAGCAACCGGCTAATCGTGGATTAGAGCTATCGACCGAGGAAGATTCAACTCAATCACCCCCGCCGAGCAGCAGGGGAGCAACCTCTCTGGAAGATAGCCAGTCGGCCGTAACTCACACGAACACGAGCGCCAGTGGGCTCTTTGCGCCCTTATTTACTGAAACAAAATTATTTTCCTTCCCCATTTGAAGCGCCTCCGGCCGCGACTATCATCTCTTTACTGCGCTCCATTAAATCCTACGCCTGTGGCGCGCACAGTCCCTTCAGCTCGACATCTCTCTCCCCCTCCCTCCCCCCCTCCCTCCCTCCCTCTCTCTCTCTCTCTCACACACACTGAGCGACGGTCGGTCTCTCTTTCTCCCTCCCTCACCCCCTACCTCTGTCGCTCGCGCTGTCTCTGTCAGAGAGTGTTTTGGCACATGGCACATGGAGTGGTCGGGGCGGGTCGGGGAGAGCGCGCGCGGCACTCGAAAAGTGCGCGGCGCGGCGCGACTCGCGAGCGGCCGACTAGTTTACGGGGAACACGCCCTTCAGCTTCATGCTGGCGTGGCCGCCGCCGGCCCTCCAGCGCGCGCCGCGCCTCACCCCGCGCCACGCCGCGCCACACCCCGCGCTCTGTGCGTGTCAGCAAGGGCGGGTTAATGAATCAAACTGTTGGGGCCCGGCGAGGCACGACCACTGCCCCTGTTCTTACGACTCGCCCCCCTACCCCCCATCTGGAGTCATCGCCCTTCTCCCACCCCGCAGCACGAGGAGGGAGGTGATATACTGGGGATGAAAGGGGTGGCTCATCGCCTCCCACAGTTGGCGGGGGAACTTTCGCGGGAAACCTTTTGTGACTGCGCGTCTAGGTCAGCGATTCAGCGTATACCCTTGGACCGGGGTCCCAAGGACGACGGAGAGACTGTAGGTTGGCGATTGACGGTCGCTCTGTTCGCTCCCTGGACGTGGGGGCTGGGTGGCGATATCCCCGGGAAAAATCGGCGGAAAGAAGTCGCGATAATGATAACTCGCGGGGAGGGGAAAATAAAATGACGAAGGAAGACACGCACGCACAAGCGAGAGGGGAGAGAGGGAGGGAGGGAGACAAAGACAGAGAGAAGGGCGACTCCGGCTAGCGGAAACAGAGTGACAGAGGAGGAGCCTGCAAAAGATATTGTGCCATAGTGACGGTCAGCGACAGTGCCGTGGACCGACACATACACTGCAGTGTTTTTTCTCTCCTCGGCTACTGCTGCTTTCCGCGTCAATGCTTCGCTCACCCCTTCCACCCCCGCTTCCGCTTTTTATTCATATTTTTTCATGTTTTTTTTCTTCTTGCTAACGACTTGCCACAACCTTCCCCGCAAACACGCATTACCCCCACCCTTTTCCATTTACTTGTCAGTGTCTCTCCGAGTTTCCAGGGCATTGCATCGCGGTGCGGGCGGTGGGCGTTGAAAGAAAATACCGCGCGTCGTGTGAATGCTCTCATTATTCCCGACTCCCGCGGGTCTGAGGCGGTGGCGATGGGCGGCGCGGCGACAAAAGGATGACAAATGTCCGGCATGCCGGTGACGCGGCTGTCCCCCCAAAAATAAAATGGAAGCCAGAGCAGCCTTGTGGCGCCACTGTCTAGTCCATTTGGCATCGCTGAAGGCGAAAGAAATTCCACAGTTTTTAAGCGGAACAGTTGTTTTGGCACAGGAATAATACGCAACGCTCGATACTAATTTTATTTTTGTCGGTAAAAGGTAAAAATTGTTGCCGGTATTAAAACGCCGCGGCTGACTTTTACCCCCGGTCAGAAGCATGCGGCGACGGACTGCTAACGTTTATTGAGCAAAAGGGGCCCGCGAGCGAGAACCTTACTGGGGAGCATAATAATACAAGGCATGGAAATGCCAACAGCGGTGTACGCGAGAGAAGCAATATGCGTCGGGGAGGCGCGGCCGGGCCGGCGGCCGGCCCTGCGCACGTCAAGAAAGACGCCGCTTCAATAGAAAATAACAGCTCTGCCTCTTCTCCCCTTCCCTCTCCTTCCACTTCCGGTTTCCCGTCTCCTTGGTGGCGTGGTGGGGCGTGGCGGGGAGTGGCCTGGCGGAGTGGGGAGTGGGGCGGGGCGGGGCAGCAGTGCCTCGCAGCCTGGATGGATTCCATGCCGCACCTCCATATGCCTGCCTGCCTATATGGGACGAGCGGGACGAGCGCAGCCATCGGAGCCCGTGATAGGTACCCCGTCACGAGCGGGGCCGGTGGATATGGGGATCACCCACAAAGTC